TTCTCCGAACCGAGAGACGAGAGCCAAAAGATCTAGAGATTGAGAGCGAGAGAGAAGATTAAATTGAGAGGAGACTTGAGAGAGAGGATGGTATGGGGAAAATGGTAAAGAGTATATAAAGGATTAGGGTTTAGACATTTGGACCAGAGGAAATTGGGTTGGCCGACGAAAATCAATTCCATTTAGAGAATTCGACCTATTTGTTTTGCATTTAGAAAAGGTAATGTGTATAAATAATGGAAATATATGAAATGGAAATGGAATTTTAACAAAGAGGATTTTGGTGCTAATAGAGAGAGATTGGGATGGTAGATGGGGAAAATGGTAACGAGCATAAAGGGTTAGGGTTTAGACATTTGGAGTTAGAGGAAATTTGGTGGGCCGACAAAAAAAAAATCCATTCAAAGAATTAGGTATTTTTGTTTTTAATGTAGAAAAGGTAAGGACTATACAATGTGGAATTGTAGGAAATGGAAATGGAAATAAAAATTCCATACAAAGTAGCCCTTAAAGTATATTTGGTTTACATAATTGTGTTGGGAGGAAAAAGAATAATATTCAGTAGGGAATCGAAAAGCGAGATATAGAATATGAATTATATTTCATTTTTGGTTCTTGAAATGTATATATTTTAGGAATCGTATTTAAGTTTAGGTTTGTTTTATAAATTGAAATTACATAAGCATTCAAATTATTGAAATATTGTACCCTATATAATAAAAGACATTTATTCTCGCATATTCTTGAGAATAGTATTTTAAAAATATATATAAACTTACCAAATGATGGAATAATCGTATTCATAGGAATTCTATACCATTCTAAGCATGTTCCATGAATCAAACGTGTTGTTAGTCTTTTAGATTTGTGTGTGTTTTATTCTTCTTTATTTTATTCTTCTCTTTTTTTTTTTTCAGTTTCGGTATTTAAAAAATGATACCATTCGGTTTAGCATTATAATTCGGTTCAGTTTGAAAAAGTTCGGTTTCAGTTCGAAATTGGTCCGGTTCGATATTCGTTTCAGTTTAAGAACCCCAAATTTTAATATTTCCTAATTTTACAAACACACTACCAAACAATATATATTCACATATTCCAAATTCAAGGTGTAAACATTTTATAACAAAATAGCAATCCAAAGTTCAAACACACTACTAGTAAGTACTAATAACCAAATATCTGTTGGTTTTTTTACACAACCGACTCTTTAATTGGCTCACGTGGAATGTTTTATTGACAAGATGAATAATCATCTATATGTATAGTTAATATTTGGAGAACAAATGTCCAGTACTATATAGCTAATTTTTAGACACAATCTGTCATTCCTAGTGCACTGGAATATTCCAGTGCACTGGAAATATATTCCAGTACTAGAAAATAATTCTAGTGCATTTGAAATCAAAATTCCAGTATTAGTAGTGTGTGCACCTCAGTATTTTAATGTACCATTATGTATTTGGGTGTTGTTCTGTTTTATTATTGGAGGGAAAGTTTGTGATTTCTTTTGTGTTATGTGATTGTTGCAGGTAAGAGGTCAAAGGAGACACTAGTAAGCTTCACAAACTAAGGTCTCAATACAAGAAGGATAGATCATCAAATTTAGCTCGGGTGTACCAACATATTTTGGGCCTTCCGCCTTCCATTTAGAGGTGCACTTCCCACTGTTTAGGATATGATTAGACTTGCAACTGTTTAAACTATTAATCTTAAGTTTTTTGCACCATGGGTCTTGTGTACATTTTTTGGCCTTGTTGACACTTTGTATATACCTATCGTCTGTTACTTTGTCCCCTGGGAATATTTTGATCGCTATCCATTGTATATTATGGTTTTTGTTGTCTCAAAGTTGGCACATTTAAAATTGATTTATGTTTGTTTTTGAAGTTAATATTCAACATAGTTTGCACCTAGTTGTAACGGTACTTAGTTGTTGTCTGTAGTTCGGAGACTTATGCACCAGCTTTGCTATTGTGTCTCTGAGTAGGGGGGATTCTACGCCGCATGCATACTGGTTAATTTAACTATGCAAATGTGTGCGTTCATGTGTTAGTGTGCACTCTGACACCAACAGTACGCGTAACTATTTTGCCATAATTTAATTACCCTTCCAAGTTCCAAGACTTAGGCATGCAGTCACGCAAACCCACGCATGCTCAAACCTATTTCTCCATTACCACTGTGTGCACACACAATGCTATTTATGTGCACCAGTATACGTCTTCATACATGTCTGCACTCCGTTAATTACCATTACTACTATGCACCGGGGGAACCTGCTTCCTTTTTTTAATTTCTAAATTCACACATTCCACCTAATCATAATGTAATTAATATTCAAACATCTCAACTAGATTCACTGTAAATAGTTTTAAACAAAATGAATGCAAAAAAAACAAAAACATGTCTTCCAAATCATGATAATATATATATACTAAACGAATACTAATTTGTCCGGACAATTGAGTGTGATGTTTGCTATATAGGTGTTGATGTTGTTTTCCTTCCTACTTGGCTTGTAACCTTCACGTGAGCCTACCATGTATTTAATTCCTACTTCTCCGTCTCTAGTTTTCTGCATTTTGATTCATTTGGTAGTTTCTATCGGTGTGAACTCTTGTTTTTACTTTGTTGCATTCATTTCATATATTCTTGGCTTTTGCTTACAATAAATGTTATTAGAGAAATTTTGGTACGTATATATTTATCTTATACCCTCCCTTAGATATGGGTTTTGTGTGCGCACAGGTTTGCGGTTACTGATTTTCACTTATTTTGTTCACCCCTTAATGTTCAGGTGTGTGTTTTGTACGAGATCGTGTGCGCCCATTACTGGTAATGTGTGCGCACGATCTCAGTTCATTATTTCTGGTTGGTGTGCCTGCGTGCGTATGTGTATGGTGCTGTGTGTGCACGCTATGATCTCAGATTCAGCGTACGCTAAGTGTTATTTCAAGCAGTTTGCCAAAATTTAACTTTATCCGTTACCCTCCAACATGTGTGCTCGTATGTGTTATTTTGTGTGCGCATATGTTTGGTGTTTTTTCTTTTAGTAAGTCCGTACACTGGTTCACGGTTCTCGCTGCGGTTTTGGTTCCGAGCATGCATGTGTGCGCGCATACATTATTTATGTGTGTGCATATATGCATATGTGCGAACGTATATATGGTGCTGTGTGCGCACATATATATCGTATTGTGTGCGCATGGTCTGTACTCTTTATTTTCATTAAACCAAGTGCTAATAATAAATAGTTTGTTGTGTCCCTTCTCCAGTATTTCGCATCATCATCGCCTATTTCCATTACCCATTCTTTTACACTGTGTTCACATTGGCCTTGAGCATAACAAATACAGATTAGAGGTGAGTTCTAATTTAAATGACTTAAGTTTACTTGAATCCTTCATGTGTTTAACCATTTTAATCCATCTATATATAATGCCTCACCGGTAGTATAGTCGTCTATGCATAAATGTTGTAAAAACGCTTTTCGTCTCACATGTATTATTCTGAACTTGTATTGTAGTTATCTCTACTCTACTCAACTTTGTAAGAATGTTCAATCAAGCACACGTAGAAAATTGCAAGCAGCTGGAATTTGGGTAGAAGAAAGCAGAGAAAGAAGTATCAGCAGAGAAGCTGAAGACAAGTGATCCCGTAAAAGAAACCCCAAACACCCAAACGTGTTGCAATCTACCAGCAGGGGTGTCAAATACTCAAAATCTTAGATCTTCTTATGATGCCTCTATTCCCGAGAATGGAGTAATGATATTACATAAGTTAGAGAAGCTTCCCTAGATCAAGAAGCTTTAGAAAGTTGAAATGGTATGTACATCCTAAGATGTGTGCTTAACACAATTTATCTGTGTGCGTGCTAGGCAATTGAATAAGATTAAAAATTGTGTTCTATTTCTTTGTTCATTCACTACACTAATTTGTAGTGCGTTAATTCAGTTGGAATGGGGTATGGAATTTGTGCATCACGTTGTCTTACTGTGTGTCGCAATTGATTCTGTTTGATTATTTTAATCCTACTGGAATTACTCGCCTTTAATTTAGGAATAAAAAATCACAATCACATTTTTAACGTAATTAGGATTCCATGCAATTGTCTTTAGTTCCCTTATTATCATTATTTACGTTCCAGGCATATATTTTTCCCTTTAAATCTAATCTAATCTTATGGTCCATATTTGTCCACAGGTTTGTATTTTAAGGAGGTTTGCATGTGAATGCAACCCTATATATATATATATATATATATATATATATATATATATATATATATATATATATATATAGAATTAGGTTCTAGTGCGGTAGGAGTGTCCAGGTGCGGTTGTGTGGTTTAATCTGGACCATTCATCTCGCTTAAATCAACGTCCAGAATTGTCAAAATTTAAAAAAAAAAATGTGGTGGCAATTTTGTAATTTTTGCATGTAGGTCAAAATTAAGGTGAGAGGATCTGTGATTAATGTGCGTGGGGTTTGTGCTTAATGTGCGTGGATGAACAAGGAAACTGATAATCATTAGAATAACTTAATCATATTACAATTAATACTCTTAGGAGAGAGAACTATCTAATAGCCAGTTGACTAGGACTAAACTAGAATACATTGACTAGTGACATTATTAATAATAATAATAAACTATAGTCTAACACTCCCCCGCAAGCTCAAGGAGGATGACTCACCACATTGAGCTTGGAACGAAGAATAGCAAACCGCGCTGAAGGAAGCGGCTTCGTAAAAATGTCAGCTAGCTGGTCTTTAGTGGAGACGAAGTGGACCCGGAACTCTCCAGACGAAACTTTATCTCGAACGAAGTGGTAGTCAACTTCAACATGCTTAGTACGCGCATGAAAAACTGGGTTGGCGCATAAGTATGTTGCACCAAGATTGTCACACCATAGAGTCGGAGGGGTAGCCGAGTCGAGACTTAACTCACGAAGTAAAGATTGAACCCACGTCACCTCTGCACAGACGTCTGCTAGACCTTTCTACTCGGCCTCAGTGGATGAACGGGCTACTGTGCGCTGCTTCCTCGAGACCCACGAGATGAGGTTGGTACCGATGAAGACAGCATAACCACTGGTGGACTTGCGATCTACTGGACACCCAGCCCAGTCAGAATCCGAGTAGGCATGAATTTCCGAGGTCCTGGATGGTGAGATGCGGAGCCCGTAGTCAAGAGTTCCTTTTATGTAGCGAAGAACTCGTTTAAGTAAACCCCAATACTCCTGTGTGGGACTGTGCATGAACTGACACAGGCGATTGACCGAGTAGGATATATCTGGCCGAGTGATGGAAAGATACTGTAGTGCCCCTGCTAACTGACTGTGTGGGATTGTCGAACGGCTCGGTGGACTGGCTAACTGACTGAGTGATGGACGCAGGTGTGGCTAATGGTTTGCAATCAGTCATACCAGCTCGTTGCAAAATGTCGCGTATGTACCGTCGCTGTGTGAGAAGCATACCATCTGGAACCGTGATGGTTTCTATACCGAGGAAGAACGTGGGTGGTCCAAGATCTCGGATTTTAAATGCTGTTGCCAACCGCTGTAAAAGAGACTCAACTAAGACAGCATCATTCCCAAGCATGATGATGTCGTCGACATACACAAGCAAAAAAACTCGGGAACCTGCAGTTGAATAATAAAACAGAGATACATCCGTTTTGGATGCAACAAACCCTGTTTCCAATAAGAAATCATGTAGACGATGGAACCAGGCCCGCGGGGCCTGCTTGAGGCCATATAAGGACCGCTGCAAGTGACAAACATGATCGGGATGATCAGGATCCTCATATCCTGGTGGTTGGCGCATGTAGACAGTCTCGGATAAGTGGCCATTCAAGAAAGCGTTGTGGACATCTAGCTGGCGTAGAGTCCACCCGCGTGGTATGGCAAAAGATATTAATATCCGGACTGTGGTCGGTTTAACCACAGGGCTGAACGTCTCAAAAAAGTCTTCGCCTGCAACCTGGTTAAAACCCTTGGCTACCAGTCTCGCCCTTGTAGCGCTCAATCGAACCATCGGCTTTGCGCTTGGTGCGAAACACCCATTTGCACCCTACAATGTTCATATTCGGTGTAGCAGGCACCAGGTTCCACGTGTTGTTATGTAGTAACGCGTTGAACTCTTGGTCCATAGCGTCCCGCCATTGTGGATGCCCAACTGCTTGGGAGTAGCAAGTGGGGTCCGTAGTCGAAGCTGTGAGAGCATGTAGTTGTTCTCCAGTCCCTTTTGTCATACGCCTCAACCGCATGACATGGGCCCTCTCCTGGGGCTTGGCCCGTATAGACCATTTCCTCGGGGCACGAGTTGGTGCCCGGGGAACCAAAGTCGTCGGTGCACTCGGTGGTGGTAATGGTGGAATGTTAGTATTCCCACTTTGGAGGACGGGACAGGAGCCCCATGGTGTACTTGAGATGTCCGTAGGCACCTCCTGAATTTTGTGTGTATTTCCTGCAAAAGGGAAAACGGTTTCGTCAAAGCGAACATGACGACAAGTATAGGTTTTCCCGGTGTTAAGATTCATGCAGCGGTAACCCCTAAAAGACGGAGGGTAACCTAAGAATACACAAGGACTTGACCTGTACTCAATTTTGTGACGATTATATGGGCGTAGATAGGGAAAACAAAGGCACCCGAACACACGTAGATATGTGTACGTGGGAGGGACTTTGTGCAGGCGGTAATAGGGTGTATCAAACTGTAGTGAGGCAGACGGAAGGCGATTAATCTGGAAGGTGGCTGTTTCAAACACATGATCCCAATAACGTTGTGGGACCGAGGCTTGAGCCATTAACGCCAAGCCAGTTTCGACAATATGCCGATTCCGGCGCTCAACACGGCCATTTTGCTCGTGTGTATAGGCGCAGGATTGTCTGTGAACAATCCCTAATTTATCAAATAGCTTGTGTAATTTTTGGTATTCCCTCCCCCAAATCGAACTGAATGGACTTGATAGAACACGAAAAGGTGCGTTCTACCGTCGCCTGAAAAACATCGAAAATCTTATATATATCGGTTTTAAGACGTAGAGGATAATACCAACAATAGCGGGTTCTATCATCTACGAATAATACAAAATAGCGGGAGCCATCCGCGGAAATAATTGGTGCGGGGCCCCATATATCTGTGAAAACTAAATCGAGTACATTATTACTAGACTTGTCTACCCTATCTAAAGGAAATCGGGCAGACTTGCCAAGTTGACACGGGGAACATAATTTGGGAACTGCAACATTATTTGACTCAACGGGACATTGTTGTAGAACACGCTGTAATGCTTGACTGTGTGGGTGACCGAGACGCTGGTGCCAAACCAGGGACGTGGCACGAGCCGACACGAACGCATAATGAGCACTTGGAATAGACAACGAATACAAGCCCCCCGAGCTTGGCCCTTTAATCAAAACCGCCTTAGTGATGCAGTCCTTCACAACAAAAAAATTGGGGTGAAACTCAAAAAAGTAGTTATTATCTTTAGTAAATTGATTAACAGATAATAACGACGCGGACAGTTCAGGGACATGCAAAATTTTAGATAATTGTAAGGATTTATTTAGAGACGGAATTGCTGCATGACCCACACGCGAGATGGCCAAACCTGTGCCATCGCCCACTTGCAAAACATCGTCACCATGGTACTCCTCGGACTGCGTGAGAACACTGGAGTCCGGCGTGGCATGCACTGATGCTCCTGTATCCGGCAGCCAGGTTGTCACCGCGGAAGAGGCTGCTGACATCGATCCGCCTCCTGCTACGGCGACGTGCGCCGTTGGCGGCGGTTCGGAGTATCTCCGGTAACAAAAAGCCGCGGAGTGCCCCTGCTTACTGCAGATTTGGCAGCGCACCCCGCCACCATTCCGGCCGCGACCGCCTCTGCCGCCGCGCTGGTTGCTGCGCCCACCGCCGCCACGCGACTGCCGGCCGCCATCTCCTTGCTGACGACGACCGCGTCCCGCGTACATTGCGGAGGGATTCCCGGCCGATGCTGTAACACCCCGTGTTACGAATCCTAAAACCAACTGATTAATTAATTAATTAATAACCAAGGAGAAAGAATAAATTATAATGATTAATTAGGGAAAAAGGCCACCATAGTCCATGGGCCCAAATATATAAACCCAACCCCTAACCCCAATAGGATTAAACTCTAAATAAACCCTTGGATCTATAAATAGGGAACTTAGGGAGCACCTAGAACCCCCACACGCCTAGACGCCCCACCACCCCAGGAGAGCTCCAAGAATTCCCTTAGAAGAAATCAAGAATGCAAGAAAGCTTAAAGAAAGATCCTTCATAGCCAAGGAATTAATTAAGGCTAAGAGGTAACCCATGTCTCAACAAAACCTATTTTCATAGCTATGATTTCCCCTTAGGGTTTCCCCCATATGATTGTAAATGGCGAATTACTATGATTATTATTGATGTTGATTTAATGATTCCATGGGGAATCTTGATAATCTTGATATTGGGAGTTTCTTGATAATTATGATATTCTTGATGATTAATTGGGACTTTGATGATTATGTGTTGTTCTTGATGGTTATGATGTTCTTGATGATTAATTGGTATCCTTGATGATTATGTGTTGTTCCTACCGAATCTTGCAATTAGAAGACGAACCGTATTCTTGTTGATATAAAAGTGATTAGAACCCTAAGTTGTATCGTGTGATCTTATTCTTGGATTATCGGGTGGGAAATCGCATGTTTGGGTGTGGATTATGTTTAGGAAAGCATGATAGGCCATGTGCCGTTCCTTTCCCGTATTTGATCCGTTAATTGTCTACTTGTTGTTGTTAATTGCGTTGTAAAGTGTCTAAGCATGGTTTCGGGTTCCACATCGGTTCCCGGGGCGAAAAGTGATGAAAAGAGTCAGTGGGGGGTAGGTGGGGATAGGGGACCCGCCACCTACCCGTGGCATTCTCGGGCAGCTCCGGCGGGCGGGCAGCTGCCTGCCGGGCACCCGCTGCCCGGATCAGTGACAGCCGGCGGGTGGACCCCCACCCACCGACTACCCGCTGGAATCTCACCCCACCCGGGACCTCGGCTTCCCCGTTTGATGTTTCCCCGATCCCCGTGGTGTCCCAACGCACCCCGTTTGTCGTGCCTATGTCTAGTTTGATGTTTCGGGTACCGTTCGTAGGTTTATGAGTCTGTTATATCGCATGCTAGATGAATTGGTATCCCGTTGACCTAGGTGAAGGAAGTATGAACCCCTTAGGACTATCCTTAGTATGTGATGGATCACGCATAGGTTGTTATACGCTTTATCCCCCTTCCCAATGTGTAACGTGGGTTGCATGTGCTTGCTATGTGTTATGTGTGTGTGCTACCCCAATTCGGTTGCGATCGGATTGGTTATCCTGAGCTGCGGTTCAGAAGCTGGCTGCGGTCAGATTGGTATTCCTGGCTGCGGTCAGATGACATTCTCTTGGGTTGCGGTCCACCGTTTGGTTGCGATCAAACGTTTCTATACGAGCTGCGGTTCGTCCTTTATCCTGGCTGCGGTCAGATGACACTCTCTTGGGCTGCGGTCCACTGTTTGGTTGCGATCAAACATTATGATGAGCTGCGGTTCATCGGTCGGTTGCGATCGACCTCCCCGTGTTGCGATACGGGGCATGGTGCTGCGGGGCTGTGTTAGAGCTATATGCGCTGACCCTCATGTATGGGCATGCGATCGGTCCCGTGGCGCCAACAATGTGCATTATGTGTGTGATATGGACGAGTTATGACTATGATGCCTTGGGATGTGACTATAGGTTTCATATTGGGGATTGTTTATGATGGGATTATGATTACCGTTTATGCCTTGTTGTAACTGCTTTACCTATTGTGAAATCCTTATGCTTGCTATGTCTACTGCTGGCGTCTAGCCTTAACTGTTGAGTCATTCCCGGTTTTAAAAGCTAGAGTTCGTAGGATATATCTTCATGCTCATAATGGTTTTCGTATATCTATATATATATCTCTATATGTATTGTATTTCAACGCGTTGGAGTGGGTTACCAGCATCTCTCGCTGAACAGATATATTTGGCTTTCAGGCACAGAAGAATAAGTCACTGGAGCGCGCTAGAACTCGGAACGTAGAAGTAGATAGTTCCCTTTTTCAGCCTGCGTGCCATATTATGCATTTACATTATTGAGGATATTAGTTAGTTAGCCTGTGCACCTGGGTTCTCTAGCTCAGGTGTGGCATAGCACCCCGTACACTTGTATTACGTTTTGGGATTTAATGAGATAATACCTTTATTTTATAAGTTTTAAATGTCTTGAAAATCTGGGGTGTTACAGTTGGTATCAGAGCCTAAGTGTGACCCTAGGAAAAGACTCTTAAGACCGGACTTTAGGACATTAGGCTTGAACTCCAGGTATCTAGGAACATAGGCTTCAGGAATTGTAGGATGCGCAGTGAGATTGTGAAACCTACACATCACCCCGCACTTCATCCCTCTCTAATATTAGAAATCTCTTCCCCACTTATTATATCAAGTTGAAACACAAAATAACATCAACCTTTAATCACCAGGATGGCACCCAAGAAGAAACAGTTAGGAACACCGAGACACCCCTCTCAAGAAATCTTGACTCAAACCCTACAACGCCTGACCCAAATTGCCCAGGCACTAAGTACTATCGTTCCCCAACCTCTGCCAACAGACGAGAACTTGGAAATCCACCACCAAGTCTCGGCACATCAACCACCCACCCTCTCGGGAGACGAAGACCCCACGACCCTCGAGGAATGGATTGAGACATTCGACAAGGTGTTCAGGACGACCCAATGCCCCGAACGCCACCGGGTCAG